ACTCCATTACGTATCGATATCGGCGAGCAAAATTCTATTACATTACATAATAAATTGTAATTTGACTAATATCACAACTGTTTTCGTAGTCAGTACGAATGCAGTTATTATGTTTTTCATTACGTATCGGTATCGGCGAGCAAAACTCTCATCTAAAAATTAAGTATTAACTGGCCATTGATATGGGTTTCAATCCATATTTTCGAACGGTCAGAACGAAAGGTGTTCGAATCAAAAAAAGAGATATAAATTATTTGATTTATTGCGTTTATTATGATCTATTATACAGTAATTGTGTGCGTAAATTTGAACATATTTTCTGTTCTAAGTATACCATAATTACAAATAAACAAATATCGAATAACGATTGATTCACATCATTTTATGAACACAGGTTTTACATAAATAATATAAAACATTGTTGACAGTTTGAATTTATATCACAGGTTGACATATTAGTGAAATGACGTGTTTCCTAAAGTTGAATGTGAAAACAGGATGCGCATTGGAAATCCAATCTCCTTCTTAATATATTGACCAATTGATCAAACCAATTTTGTCTGATTTTGAAATCCAACATGTTTATCTTTCATGAAATGAGCATATAAAAACTCACAGGTCTGCCAATGTTCACATTTTTGTCATAATCTGAACAATTCAAGCAAATTCCAAGCTAACCAACCAAGCCGAGAAAGTTTGCACTCGGAGATGAGCTGAGACATAATAAGGGTGAAATACGTCTAGACGATATCCCACTAGACGATTTTATCGTGGACACCATGTTCCCTTTAAGTTTAATTAAAAATGTTGCTTATGTCAAGATATGAAGCTAATTAAGGCGGTTTGTGGTGAATATAGACAGAATATTCATCATTTGATCCTACAGAATGATGATTATGTCATCACACCAATGACTCGATTAAGTAAGTTTTTAGATATTTTACATAAGAGGCGAAAAGAACTAAATACTTTTAAATTGATATCACATATTCATCATTTGTTCCGTTTAAGTTTAATTATAATAACTTTCGACATTGCATTTTTTTTACAAGAAAAAGGCTGCGTATTTCAAGATATGAAGCTAATTTTGTGGGAAAATGTCTTATATCTCTATAATCATAAGGTCCAAATATTAAGGCCTTATCTTTTATCTCGATCAACCGATTAGATTTTAGATGAAGTCAAGTTTGCTAAAGGCCTGCATGTTGAAAATCCGTCAACAGTTGAAAATCGAGTTGCCTGATCGTCACTGTAACCCCTATGTATCGAGAAATAGAGTCTTATAACATGGGAAGTAGACTGTTACACTACAATGAATTCCATGCATAATCATCCAACTTCATCAAAAGTATTCAGACCTATATACAATGGTGACAAATTTAAAAATTGCAGTGTGCATTCTGAGCAGTTATGTAAACAAAAGTGTGAACAATTTTAACACCAGTTGTCCTTTTATACTCATCTTAAAATAACTGGTTATATCGCAGTTTAGGTTTGTCCTCTTAAAAAATCAAAAATTTTTAAAAGTAAACTATTAATGGACCAGCTGAGTCGTTTCCTCCATCTATTCATCAAGTTCAAATTTCATATCTTGATGTATCAAATAACTATCGCTGTGGTATCTATATGTTAATCATCAGCCATTCTTCACTATTCGAAACCGTTTTAACCCACTTATAACAACCCCGAATAATGTAATTTAAATTTGAATGGCGTATCTTAATTACTTTTTCTTACCTACTCTTTTGTAAATGGAGACCCAATAAAATACCACGAATTTATAGATTATTTCCCTTTCAGATATTCATGTTAAGGTCTGAATTTGATCCCTACTATCGTAAAAATAAAAATATAACAACAGATTGTCGACATGAAATATTGGAATGAAATTATCACGAACAGTCGTTTTCAAACATTTTGAGGACTCAAAAATCTTATGAAACAATCTTATAATTATGGTTATTAATAAAATAAAAATGTAAATCTAGTAGACTTTGCGTGCCTGGAACATTCGTACTATTTTGTACACATTACTGATTTCTTTGTATATGTCCATCAAATGATTTAACCAAAATGCACTTTTGCACTTATTTTTATAAAAAGCTGTTATATCCTTTTCCATAATGGAAATGCTTCAAAATGGAATTTTCCTTTTCATTTTTTACCATTTAATCTGTTCCCTCATCATGAATATGAACCGCATCGACGGTTTTAACGCGATTTCTATTTGAATAGTCCCTTTTTTTATCGTCATTTATTTGTTTAAAAGTTTTAAGTGAATATGGTATCTAGTGAAATATAATTATCGTCTGTGTATTCATTAAATGTAAGTTATTTGCGTCACAATTTAACCAAAATAATGTCGTTGACCCAGTGCGAATATTCTTTTATAATAGGTTCACCAAATAAACCCAAGATTTATGTAGAAATAGGGGATAACTGATTTTTGACAGTTTTTGTATCAAATGAAAATTCTAGAAAATGCATTGATACTTTCCAATTGAGCCATTAAAGGGCATTAAAATATGACAAAGCACTTCGACTATCCGTCACCTCCTTATACACGTTTTTCATCAGATTTATGCTCTTTTTGCCAACATCGACCTGAAACTTTACAACATCTCTTCTTCGACTGTGCTTTCGTTAAATTTCTGAGGAAAACTATTAATGATAATACAATATTCTATTTGAACTTTAGAAACTATTATGGTTGGCCCTCATTCCTTAGAAGTAATGGCTTCTTTTACATGCAAAATTTTTCATTTATAGGTCAAGAATTTATCAAATAAAAGCCAAATTAACAGTTTTACTTAAGTATTTCCACGATAATATTGCAGTTGAACAGAATCTCCAAATGATAAGGAATAATGACATTTTAAATAGATAATTGGGACATTTTATATGTTCTGGCCACCTACTTCTATTTCTCTCTTTTTTTTTCTTTCAACTCTTTCATTAACAATAGTACAGAGCTCAGCTTTTCTTCAAACTTATAGCAATCGATTGGATAACCGACGGAGTGCAAACGTTATATCGGTTATGATGTTATCAGTAAACTTTTCGTCTGTGATAGGGTGCATTTTAAAACAAACTTGGTATTTTATTAAATTGTTGTTTGGTTTTATAATGCATCTGTAAGTTTTAAAAGCACATAATTACTAAACATTGGCCTTACTAATATTTACTATTACTCTCTCTTATCTCTTTAACTTTAACTGGTCTCACAGGACAATGGCTGAACTGTCTTTAGGCCAGTGAGTTTCATCACTTTTGCTCTCTATAGCCTCACTTGGACCTTAGATACCAAACAGAGTGGTTTGTTTTAGTCTTTAGGAACAGTGCAGCTCTGTTTTCTTCATTCTATCTATAGTTATTCATCTTTGGAGCAACTTTCTTCAGGTATGTGTGTTTTGGGTTAATATCTTGGGTAATTGTAATATTTGGGTGACTATATTTGTATTTGCAAGCAGAGTAATTGAGATAATGTTTTACTTATATATAACATCATGCAGTTCAATTAAAACGTTTCATTTTAACTTATCATATAATTATCATTTAATTTACAGAACTAAGTTACATCTCTAATAGTAATCAGCTTAAGTAAACACCCCATCTTTGGGTTAGTATAATTTTACTATTATCCAATCATTGTATCTTTATATATATATTTGATAAGGTTTGTTATTAATTATGTGCATAGTGTTTTGATTTTCAAGTTTATTGTAATAATAATGTTCTGTATGTCTAAATTATGTTGTATTATTATTAATTGTATATATTATTATTACAGGGTGTTTTTAATGCTAGATATTAATAAAGCTGAGAAAACGTTAAAGATTCGTGTTAATCTGAGGTAACCCCAGTGAGTTAGCCATACGTCTACATTATGAGTGATAACAGACCCTTAAAGTTCTGTAAATATTAATCAAATAATTTTTGTGGATATTAGAAAAACTTTATTGGCGCAAACTTCCATTTGAACGTTGTTTGTATGACACAGTACGGATCAATAACACAATAGAAAATATACACAGGGCTGCAATGTTCCTTATGACCTAAAACAACAAAACAGATTCTAACCCGATATAAATATTTGGATAGGTGATGATTAGCATAATCAAACCAAACTTTGACATATTACTAAATGGGAACAAAGTTTGTCTAATTCTTCATGTGAGTAATAATAAGCGGGAAGTTGTGTATCGTTCCTGACGATACCTTTCATTCCATAAAAAGTGGGGATTTTTATAAGTTTGTTTATGCTATAACAATTTTTAAACTCGACAGAGGGTGCTAACCACGTCTATCAGCTATATTACCAAATGCCACAGTAATAAAAGTTATGAATTAATATATATATAGAAACCTTAAAGATAAAATATTAATTTTTATCCCATTATTCAATATCACGATATGTATCTTATCGTGGCGTGATTGACGATACCCAGCACTAAAATATTAATATACAAAATTGACAGTTCAAGGGAGATAACTTATGTTATTCTTAAATTGGTAACGGGACTAAGACCGGCAATTCATTTGCCATCTGCTTCCATGTTTAATCCCGAAATTCCATCTTATAAAACTTTGTCTTTTACGTTCCTTTATGTTTAGATATTTATATGATACTGTATTTACGAACACTAAACTTTTCAAAATGAATATTGTAACCTCAAATTTATATATATCGGACTATATATAGGGTACTAAATTTATTTTTTGGTTTGAATTTCATCTGACATGTATCTGGAGTACTATGTTCAGAAAGCATGTAAATATACACATTTGTACGCAATGAAAGTGTTTTTCTGGTGCACCCCTACCTCAATTAGGCTCTTTGTTTGCAGCCAATCAGAACAAATCAATCCTTATGACACTTTGTTTGCGAACTTGAGCAAAACGGAAGCTGCGTGCCATTACATATTTTTGATGAATATGTACGGTATAGAGTTGAGTAAGTTGAATTTTTTTTAAACTCCAGTCCCAACACCCAATATATTTTACATTATTATAATGCATTCGTAATTCTCTCTTAAACGATATGTGGCACTGATGGTTTGCTATAAAAATTCACATCATTAAATTTTGATAAATTTTTGATAAAACAAATATGGTTTTATCTCTTTAAATCTTACGTGTTCAACTACAAATGTCTTGTACTTTATACAGAGTAAGTGCGCCGGAGAATTAATGAGATTATGTAATTTTTTAACCTTTAAAAAGATTATTCATGTTTTTTGCAAATTGTTACATACAAATTGGAAACAGCTCCATTTAAATCTGTAAATTCGAAAGTTATTTAACCGTTGGAATTAACTTTAACTACAAATATCTAATACTTATTACAAGTACGGAGAAGTATGTGTTTGCAGACAATGCATATTGCAGATATTTCCTATTTAGGAAGAATGGATTGTTAAATCATTAGCGTTATTTCTTTGTTGGCTATATATCACCATGGATCAAGTACAATTTCTTTCAACTTAATTTGGAAATCCTTCAATATAAAGACTGTTAATGTTAATAAGCATCTACTTCTCGTTTTGTTTATCCCAATTGGTAGCCCAAATCGAAACGAAAATAAGACTCAATAGTCATATATCGAGCCACATGCACTGATGGGAAAAAACGGGTTATAAACTTAAATTGCCCATACTTACATATTGCAAAACAATTCAAAGCTAGGCACAAGGATTCATTTTGTTCTGAGTAACGAGTGTTATCAATGTCTATGTACAGAAGCTTGTTAGTTTGCGTTCCTTAAAAATCAGCTTTTTGCCCATGCTTTTTGTGGTATGGCCCTAAGTGAACATTACTTCTGCCTTTGGGTTAACTATGGCTTATTTATAACTAGTGCTTGTGGGCTATACTTCCCGCCTATGTACTTCCTGTGGTGGAGAGTTTTCTGTCCTTGTAAGAAAATGTCTATAATATAACACTTATAGCCCTATTTTGTCCCCCAGACTTCCACCTGTTTACTGAATTAAGAAATAGGAATAAGCCATTTTTTCTAGTATGGAGCCATTCGATGTCAAGTCTTCCAAGTGTATAAATTAGGCTTAGTTATTATATCCGCGCAAACATGATTTTCCAAATACAAATGTGTACAAAATGAATGATATCATATTTGTTTTTGCATAATGTGCCAAATTTGGTTTGTAGAGCTTATTCGTAGATTTTCCTCGAGTTTCTTTTTTATGTTGTTTGTAAAAAGGATGCAATTGAAAACAATTTTTTTTTATAGAGAAACGAATTTACAATTCCGGCGATAATTAATGTATAGATCTGAGAATCACAGTTCTAGTTTAGTTTGATGCCAATCGATGTTTGTGATAATTGGATAATTCAAGTTGATGTTTATGGAGTAATGTCCGTAGCAGTCGGATATGTCTTTCTCAACTATAATCAATATATTATATTGATACAGCAATAAACCAAAAATGAACTGAGAGTGTGTTACTTTTTGACACAAGCGGGCTGTGATGAAAGTCGGCAAATCATTAGAAAATATGATAAGGCAACATCCTTGACTTACAATGAAGATTAAAACCAAAAGTCAAAACAATCTGTATATGATTGTCAACTGTCGAGTGAGAGCAATATGGTACTTGTCAAATCGGTACTTGAGCCAAGTTTCAAAGTGAAAAATAAAACAATGTACCTGATATGATTCCATACCTAACCATTAGTAATGTCTATTGACAAGCATTAGTAATGTTTATTGACAAGCATTAGTAATGTCTATTGACATGTATTAGTAATGTTTATTGACAAGCTTTAGTGATGTTTATTGACAATATTCTGCCGTTGTTGTTGTTTTGATATCACAGTAGTGGTAATTCGTTTTGACTTTGATGATAATGAGAAAACTTTTCGCCGATTTAAATCAATTCACTTGACTTTTAAGGGCCAAGTTGAAAATCCTAGTTACAATATTTTGGTAATGATTCGGAATTTTTAGTGCTGTCTGTTTTTTACGTAGGCATATTTCTATGCTTATCCGAGCAAAGCAAAATAACGAGCAACTGGTGGTAAAGAATGCCACCAGTTTTCCAGAGCACCACATAATATTTTCATTTCATTATAAAATTTTGTTATATGCAATTACACGATTCTCAATGATTAAAAGATATTTTCGCTTCGCGTACTTAAACTTTTGGCTCAAAAAAGTACGATAAAACTTTTTTAAAAAAAATATAAAACTATTCAGAAGAATAGATCTATTCTTTATAATAAGTCCAGATCCGTATTGACAACTTACAGCCGATGTGTTCCATGATCCATCTTTTAAGCAGACAATAGACGAGTTCTGATAGGAGTCAGGAAGGCAGTCATACAACATAAGATAACCTGGTAGATATTCTTGATCAGCGGGCTGAGTATTGATATTTGGGATACTTGGTGGTGGACCACAAACTGCAAAGAATAATATCAAGAATTGAACAGAATGTAACACTTCCGCCTTTATTGTTATTTCCTAGTATGTTAGATCAAGTGAGAACGTTAGCAGTTCGCGACAATGCGAATATTGACACTCTATGTTAACCCTTATGATCGGGAATAGTGCAACTACAAAAGCTCCTTATCAGTTCGTCCAAATTCACAAAACATTGTATGTAGGTGATGAAAGATAGTGGATCACGTCCAAAATACGCCCGTTTTGGAATGCATGTGTCAAGATTTTTTTTTTGAAAACAATATTTATTCAAGGATTACAAATATTACATACATATATATATAAACATATGGTTTTGGAAACAAGCTTTAAAGCTTATGTAAATCCATTACCATGTGTCAAGATGTTTACGGGAATTCCTACGCTGCAAAGCCATAATCGATCCAACATAATGGTAGTGCAAAGGAAATACAAAAAATCAGACCTTTAGATACATTGTACATCACTGTTCCAGCAGCAAATTCAGTTTGTGAAGTCGAAACAACTTCGTCACAGAGTTCACATTGCTTTGAAGATGTTGTGTAGTAAGAAAACCCTGTACAGTATTCATTCTTCTGACATCTTCTAGAGCAACAAAACTTTGAATCCAGGCTAGTCGTTTCAAAATAATTAGTAAGTTTACTATCAACATAAATTCGATCAAACACGAATCTGCTGTATATGCAGAAATCACACGTTCAGTGCATAAGGAAATAATCATGAGCATAATAAACCCAACCGTCTTCTCTTAATATCCCGATCTGTTCAAAGGATCGAACATATTAACCCATAAATATAATATCTTCTGTATAATTCTAACCCATTTGATCATTCAGAACATAGACTACCAATCTTAGAGTCGGTTTACGTCAACAGTTACACTTGTGTCTGTTGAGATGGGTGTTTAGTTATCGATGATATAAACTATATAACATAATATATGAACAATGGTATTTGTCCCACGATATTGCTCATATTACTTAAGTATATACGTCATCTACGGCGATATCGTCTCATGGCAATCTCCCCTAACGATCGTCCGTACAAACATTCGTCTCTGTACCCTTCAAATTATAAAGTAAATCGTGCCAGGAGTGAGGGTAAATTTCTTTGCTCCTTCCCGCTACGTAAAGTAAAATGTAATCCATTTAGGAATATAAGCCTATTAGTAAGTACGCAAGGACTCATTATTTCATTGTCATTTCCTGCAATGGAATGAATTCCTTGATATAGTAATCGATGGTTTGTCCCTCTCACAGCTCCGCATATACTCCGTTGTGCATCTACTTGTAATTGTTCTATCTTGCCTGTTAATTGAGCAGTGCACCCATCTCCACATTTTAAATTTTCAATTGCCCATTTTTTTTCACCTCGAGTTGATGTTTGGGTTAGTTCGATGATGTTCAAAGTATCTTTTTCAACCATTTTCAGTTGTTTTCATTGAAAAGAAAGTTTCTCCGTCAGATGTTGACACAGTAATCACTCCAGTATATAATCCTCACAGTTTCAACCTTTAAAACAATAATTGAAAATTATAATTTTAATTCAGCGAAACTTACAGCATCAGAAAACTTTCTCTTCGTGTGGGCCACCATTTTGAAAAATGGCAGAATATTTGTGGCTGTTCAATTTATCAATTCATATCGGGCTTTACAGACATTTTCACACAGCCAGACATTTACATGTTGTTTGAAGGCTTAGTTGAATTATAATAACCTTTTTTGTAAAACAAATTCGATCAAAGTCGAGGTAGTGATTTAAAATGGTTGTCTACGTAGATTTGTATGGCGTTGAAAGTTACACATGCTCATCTGCGTGCGATAAATAGTATTCAAATATAGAATGTTTTCATTACCTAACTTCATTACCTAACTTGCAATTATTAATTCTTCAGTCATTTGTTGTCGACTACATGTTCATATTGTTCGTACTGTGTCACGCGTGATTGATTTAAAAGTGCGTAATACTATAGTGGATATAAAAAAAATACAAACACACGGAATGATCTTAAAGAGTTCCTTATGGATTACAGGGTTGATGAGATAATCAATCGGTTAAATGTAATGTGTATAGGCTTTTATTTACATTACTTCATGCCCTCTGAATTTCGCTGATTAATATTATCTTAACATATGATTTCAAATTGTCAAGACGTGTAGTCTGCGCACTCCCGCACTCTTTATCGCATTTTGAGCAGCGCGCCAATCGGTCTTACCGCAGAGCTACCGTAATCAACAATATGGCACAACATTAAAAATTTCACTTCACCGGCATACTAGATCTATCATGATGTAGGTATGTTTGTATACCAATCTAATTTAAATTGGACCAAACTTTCGTTCCGTTTTTATTAACTTTTACTTTTAATACAGCCACTTCAGTTAGGGTCTAAAGACGGCCTTCTTAATGATACCGCCAGCCAATCAAAATCATGCCCTCTCGTGCCACGAACAAAAGGTGTATTCTGAGAAGCCTTAGGCATCGAATGCATCTTATGTCCATGTCACAAAATCTCAGTGCTGGAGAAGGCAGGGATTTTATTGACCTTATCATGAGATACAACCAGTTATCCATGATTAACTACAAAGGAAGTTGCTGACGAAAAGAGCTAGATTAAAAGAAATAGTCGATGATCTCCACTGCTCCAGGAAAGGCTGTCGTTTGCCAATTACTGCTAGTAGGTTACTTCTTTTGCTCAATTTTAATCATTACGAAAATTAGCTTTTCATTGTGCTAATTGCGATTTTGTTTGAATGAGAATGTGCTTCTCCGGTAAAAATGATATTAATGGAAATTTTGAAGTCTGCTCGAAAGATCCTCAGTGCTTGATGAATCCAATCTTTGAGCCAGAGTATCTGACTGGTCGACAAAAGAACATCCGTAGGCTAGGCTTGGGACACCTTTATTCTGCTACTCTCGCTCGACGATCGGTGGTAGGACGACAGACATCATGTTGGGAACGTGTCGATTGCGCGAGAAACGTATGTGATCCAGTTGAGACACATTCGGGAAAGAAAAGTGATCCAGGATGACAAACTTGCCGATCAAAAAAAGTGTTTCAGATCGACTTTAGAGGACGATTACATATAGTTCATATACACCTAATATCTCATAAATATACTTTACACCATATATCTTATCTATATAATTTATTTACACCATATATCTTATCTATATAATTCATTTACACCATATCATATCTATATAATTTATTTACACCATATCATATCTATATAATTTATTTACACCGTAAATCATATCTGATAAATATGCTTTTCAATAAATACACTTCATTTACACCATATATCTACCCTGCCTGAAAGACTACATTATATTTAATAAGGACTAAATAATATTTGTGCACTTATGATAGCTATAATCATGTAATAGTAATCTAGCTTTGAATAATGACTAATGAAATCAAAATAATGTCTAACAAACAGCTGAATAGCAATACGAGTAAATAATTAGCTTAAATAATTAATAAAATCTTTGATATTCCAGTACATTAACGTAAGATAAATAGAAGTATGGATTATCCACCAAGATAAAAGCTTAAAATGCTGTCTTCATTAAATATAAATGTATTCCACACCCTTGGCAACAGTTCATCCGACGTTAGAGAACTTGGTAAACATGCATACTTAAGCTAGCAAATAAAGAGATATATTTTACATTCAAATAGATTGATGACTGTAACTAGACAAGACGGTCACAGAGGTACTTTAATTTCAAACTTTTATAACATCCGATGATACTGTATATCCCATGTGTATAACAAGAAACTGACTGTAGGCGGTGCAAAGTAGTAAACATATTTATCTATTAGGGTACATATCGAATTCTTATTGAGGTTATGGACTGCAAAAATTGTATCTGAATTATTTCTTGTTTCTTCATATGGGACCCAGAAGAAAGGAAATTTGAATATATATGGAAATGAATGTATTTCATTTCAGATAGTCGTGATGAATCAGCATCGCCAAATTATGTGATTATACTTGTAAATATTAACTATATGGGGATATAAAGACATCTATCTGAAACTGTGCAATAAATGAAGGTCAATATAACAAGATAAAAATGATCTTTTGTATGATGGCTCTAAAAATAAATCACGTACCGTACCCTTCGCAAATGATTCTAAATGATGAACTGAATGAATTAGATCTTCTCTTAGAGAGATCTGCAATTTTGTTTTGTCGTTGGGGCAAGTCATGGTAAATTGAACGTACAATGGTCGCCGCTGATTAGTTCGATCTAACATTGGTAGTAGCTACAAGCCTACCTTCAGTGTGTATCAAACGGTAACTCGGACAATAGTCATGTTGCCGTTCACTGAAAGCATAATTGATGCTTTTGTTTCTTTGCTGTTTTCCATGTACATTGCCAACCTACCTTTTTTAGGAAGGCAGGTGATCGACACAGTAACCGAAAATATACTTTTAAATGTTCTTGCGTAAGCCTTCTTGAAAATTTTTGATCGCTCAAAGGTCTTGTGTAAAGCTTTTTACAGTTGATACCTTAGTAATTTATGACAATGTTGAATAGGGATTGATATTTCTGTTCAGTTTTAAGTTTTCATTTTCTTCATGGTGAAATTCCTCTACATCTTAAGCTACTTATATGAACATAGAAGTATTCGTTAAAGTGACCTAAAAGAAAATGAAGAATCTATGATTTATTCATAAGATCATCTCATTGTGAAGCAGATGCATTTCAGTTTTGACAAATATCCGGGCGCTTTAACAAAGCAACTTACGTAGGCCACCTTAAACAACTTTATATTCAATTGTCCCTGAAGTAAAAATGATATTCCTGTGTTAAGATTCATACCTGTATCTCCATTTAAAAATGCAGTAACTGGTAAATCATCTTTATATGAAGAAAATCCTTCATCGTGTCTTTCAGTTTTGTCATTGGCGTCACAATTACAGCTAGAACCACCATAGCACGAGTTATTTAACTTACAAGCACAGTTCATTTGACCTTTAACACCACCAAAAAAATAATCTGCCAAAGATCCATCACGTGTTCTCCAACCATTGTCTCTCATTAAACTCGAATCATGACAAATAACTTTCATATACTGTTCACAGTACGTAGATGAATCAGCAATGGCAGAAATATAGTTTAAACCAATAGAATAATTCACATCGTATACACCACTTCGTGTAGCCTCATGACCTCGTAATTTGGTATTATTGTTCCATGTTGAATCTGGAGAAGAATCATGGGTAAAAATGGGGTAATTCTTAACAAAGGTGTCCAAATTTTGAAATAATTAAATTGAAAATTGTACACAATATAGGGCTATTAAATTAAACTACCTTACAAATGTAACATGATGTATTAACCTTACCAACCTATAACAGTCCAATAGTTGCCATCATTATATTCACATTTAACAATGACTGTATTATTAGTGGCTATTGGCTTCACCACCAGATTCGAACCACCATACACACCAATGGAGGCAGCCTCATCACACGTCTTAACTGAAATAGTTTTAAAAACTTATTCAACAATTTTCAAAATGCTGATTGTAGTTATATCTCGTTTGCTTTATTCTTTTCTATGAATTGCAACACAGACCAACCAACACGATGATATAATGTTGTTAACACATGTTGTAGACACATAGAAAAAGGCAACCTAGCAAAAAATGCAATATTCTCACATCAAATAACTGTGAGCACAAGATTGTATCTAATCTTGTTGCATTTCGCACCAGAATCAAGAACATACAAACCACCGAAATTTACATTAATCACGCTTACACTATTTTCAATCAGATCTGGTCCGCGATGATTTTTTGGTTTTTCCGACTGTCGTTTAGAATCATATCTTCCCCTTCTGTGGACCCGATTGAATCCATACAAATTGATCATGAATACAAGACGAATCGACGTTCTAACTTTGCTTATAAGGCCGTTTCTCCAAGGATTGGTTTGATCCCGATGGCGAAAATAAGCAATAACCTGCGACCTGCACTATTTTTTATCTTCAGGAGAAAAACTTGAAGCGGTCGTTTCAGTCCTTTGAGGGTTAGGTACCGAGAAAGCGATCGGCTACTGTATTTAATCATGTTGAAAAACAGCAGCCTTTTAATATTTACCGTTTACTTTCGGCTTCCGTGCGTCAACACACCTACATTCGGTCACTCTTGCCCGAAGATAGAAGGACGACAGACATCTTAAACAGATATATGCACCCAAGAATCGCATGGATCGCTGAAAGAATTTCCGCCATTTTTCCCGTAACTGGGGACAAAGCATTGCCAACATATTCCACAGAGCAATATTTTCTAATTTTTGATTGAACTTTTTTGTGTGGGTTTAAAACAATACACTTATTACTTTCGAGATGATTTGACATGAAACCGAAACGAACAGGGTATGATATCATACTAAACCATAAACAAT